CCCCAGCTGCAGCGGGAGAAACAAAACACCTGCTTCCACCGCTGCAGCAGCAGCAGCTGTTGCTGCTGCTTTTGCTGCTGCTGTTGCAGCTGCTGTTGCTGCTGCTGTGGCAGCTGCTGTTGCTGCTGCTGTTGCAGCTGCTGTTGCTGCTGCTGCTGCAGCTGCTGTTGCTGCAGCTGTTGTTGCTGCTGCAGCAGCTGCTGCTGCAGCTGTTGTTGCTGCTGCAGCTGCTGCTGCTGCAGCTGATGCTGTTGCAGCATTAGCAACGCCAGCAGGAGCCGCATCAGCAGCTGTTGCTGCAGCAGTTGCTGCTGCTGCATTTGTTCCTGCTCCCGCAGCAGCAGCAACAGCAACAGCAGCAGCAGCAGCAGCAGCAACAGCAGCAGCAGCAGCAGCAGCAGCAGNGCAGCAGCAGCAGCAGCAGCAGTTTGAGTGTTAAGAAGAGAATACCTTGCAGGGGAGGAGAAACCAGCAAAGAGGGATTTGCATAAGAGCAGCAGAAACGATGATGGGTGAGGAGCAGCTGCATCTGTTTGTTGCTGCTGCTGCTGCATGCAGGTAAGTTGCTGCTGCTGCTTCTTTGTTTGCTGCTGCTGATTGCTGCAGCAGCACATATAGATCTGCTGCAGCGCAGCACGAAAAGTAAAAGAAGCAGCAGATGAAGCCGAACAGCGGGCGGCCTCCTGCTGCTCCCCTCAGTGCTGTGCCTCCTGCTGCTGCTGCTGCTGCTGCTGCTGCTGCTTCTGCTGCTGCTGCTGCTGCTGCTGCTGTTTCGGGTGTATCTGCAGCAGCAAAGTCTTGGTTTTGCTGCTGTTTATACTGCAGCAAGTCAAGCAGCAAGCGCAGCAGCAGCAAGACAGCGAGGTGTACATATTTGTATCCACAGAAAGACAAAACATCTGCTGCTGCAGCAGCAGAAGTGCTGCTGGTATATAAAAGGAGCTTAATCAATGCAACCTCAGCAGCAAGAAGACAAAGACAAACAGACAAAGAAGAACCCAACAGCTCAGGATAAAACTCTCCTTCTGTTCCTTTTTGTATACCTAAAAGTAAAATAAAAGTAATCAGCGACATAAGAGGTATATACAGATCTATTTCGGGTGTATGTACACCTGAAACACCACCATCAATGCATGCAGCAGCAGAACCAGATGACGATGCTGCTGCTGCTGCTGCAGCAGCAGATACTCTTCTATACTGACGCAGAGAGGGGCCCCTGTTTATAAATAAACCCCTAAAGGGAAACAGCAGCTGCAGCAACCGATAAAATACATACTGCTGACTTATATTAAAATAAACACGAAAAGAATATAAAAAAGAAGGAAGCTGCTGCTGCAGCAACGAAGATACTTGCTGCTCAGCTTTTGCTGTTATACTATCCGCCACAGATGTTAATACCATACGCATCATTTGCTGCTCTGCGCTGCTGCTGCTGCTGCTGCTGCTGCTGCTGCTGTTTTCCTTTATAGCCCCATCAGCAGCTACACCGGGGGGTCCACCAACAACCCCAAAAGGAGAATTCCACACACCACCCACGTTGCCGCTGCCGCTGCTGCTGCTGCTGCTGCTGCTGCTGCTGATGCGTGATGAGCTGTAAGCTGAACCCGCAACACCTGCAGGGTTACGGGCGTAGCAGTCGACGCCCCCAGCAGCAAAGCCAGGGGAGCCTCGATGCCCTA